AGGGAGGGGGGAGTGGAGAAGATTGGAGGGAGGGGAGAGAAGAAGAGATTACAGGGAGGGAAGGGGGGAGAAGAAGAGAAAATTACAGGGGGGAGGGGAGAAGATTACAGGGAGGAAGGAGAAGAAGAGAAGATTACAGGGACGGGGGAGATGAAGAGGAGAACACGGGGGGAGAATAAGAGGAGAACATGGGGGGTGGGAGATGAGAACGTAGGGGAGGGAGAGACCACTAAAGGAGGGAGGGGCCAGTGGAAAGACCACTAGGGGAGGGGTGTGAGGAGAGACCGCTAAGGGAGGGGGGTGGAAGATAGACCACTAGGGGAGGGTGGGGGGAGAGGAGAGACCACTAATGCAAAGTCGGGGAGAAAAGGAGACCACTAAGGGAGGTGGGGAGAGGAGAGACCACTAAGGGGCAGGGGAGATCTCTAAGGAATGGAAGGGAGAGCTCTATAGGACAGGGGGCAGGACAGGGAGCTCTTTCACACCACGTGCATACACATACACACACACAATGCATCCCTATACACACAGAAACACAACATGCCTCCCTTACACACAGAGAAACACACAATGCAACCCTTACACATAAAGACAATGCATCCTTTGCACATATACACAGAAACACACAATGCATCCCTTTCACACACATGCAAACACACACTGCTTCTCTTACACACACACAGAAACACAATGCATCTCTTACACACACTCAACGCACCCCTTACATACACAGAAACACACTTTGCATCCCTTATGCATACAAACAAGAAGCACACAATACATCCCTTACACACAATAAGAAACACACAATACATCCCTTACACAAACACTCACTGCTTTCTATCGCTTACACAAACACACACTGCTTCCACTACACACAAACAGGTATCCTTATACACTACATTCCATAAGCACACACATTAGATCCTCTACAGTAACAAATAACACATCCCCTACACACTCTACTCCCTGTGAGTGAACTCATGGGTGGAACATGTAGGTGGACGTATGGGTGGGCTTTATGGGCATACTCACCGTCAGGCCCTGGGGCCCAGACCTTGAGCTGTGTAAGAGGCCCCAAAAAATGGAGCTGCTTCCTGTTCTCCCAGAACATTGAATTTTGTGACCACAGTTGCAAACAGCCTCCAGAGATCCTGTTCTTCACCAGACCGGTGGAGCCAGACTGCAGCCAGAGCCCATCACCATCCTCATCTGATTGTAAGTAGGCAATCTAGTATATTATTAGTGACACTAATCTCTAATTTACCTCACAATAAATGGACACTATAGTCCCCAGAACCACTGCAGTGTGTGCAGCACTGGCACTAGTTCATATGGCAGATCATATGGGTGGGGCATTGCGATGTCCCGGGGAGGGGGGGGTGGCAAATCTTTCTTTTGCCTAGGGCGGCAAAAATCCTTGCACCGGCCCTGATTTCATGTATTAGGTTAGCTCAATGGGCTAATATACTAGCAGTACACTGTCCATATTTTATGATTCACAGGTTCAATCCCCACTGAAGTAGATAAAATAGGAATCACCTATTTGGGTAACCAGCGAAATGTGTTCACGATTTTATATCTTGTGATCTATTAATTTCAGTGTATTTTTTGTATCCACGCCGGCGGACCGCGAGCCGAGCTGTCGTTTTGGCACGAACGGTGGCTATCTTAGGACTCGCGAGCCCCACAACGGCCATTTGCGCCCCTAGCGTTTATGACTCACACGATCCCTTCAACACACGTTGGATATGTATAGTTAGGTATTTCCATTAAACAATAATTTACTGTGGAACATTGCTGATAAACTGCACTGTACATTAAGCATTACACTGCTGCAGAGTGTCTATACAGAGGTGACCCCTCTCAGTTGGGGGTGAACCCCACTCACACTCCTGCCAATACCATAACAGGGGTGACCCCCTATGCTGGGTGACCCCCAAGCGGAGCCATACAGCACTCCGTGCAGGATTCATTCGGGGTGACCCCCCACAGGCTCAAAGAGACACAGGGCACGCAGGTTCAACATCCTGCCATACACTAACAATATGACTCTATGCAGTGAATATCGGACACCCACACTACGACTGAGGTGATCCACACACCTCCTTACCAAGGAGGGAGGAAATTGCAAGTGTACAGGCTCCACAATTCATATATTGTTGGGTGAACCCCAAACCAAACAGGCCCTCCACCCTTGACGGGTGCGGCCCACTTATACGACCGCTCATCCCGGTCACACAGAGGGTGACCCCCTCCTCAGGCCACTTGACCCCTAGCGACCTGATGGTCTCCTGTCAGATAACCCTGGGTGTCCCCCAGTCATAAGTGGAAGCCTACTGTACTATTACTCACGTACTTTGGTACCTGACATTCTCCTGCCTTTCACAGACAGAATACTCCACTACTTCATCATGAGTGACTCACCACAATCACCACCATCTGACTTCCAGTTAATGATAAATTCGGCGGTGGCCGCCTCAGTGGAGAAGGCTATTGCCAAATTACTTGTGCAGATCCCGAAAACGGACACTGACACTGCAACAGCCACTGAAACGGAAGACCCTGACTTCGTTAGAGAAGTCCCCGCAATAAAACTACCCAAACTTTATTTTCTGTGCACTTTATTATTGGGGTGACCCCCCTTACTACTGGGGTGACCCCCCACTCAAAGATGTGCATTCACCAATGGGTTATTGTGCAATTTTTTTATTGGGGGACCCCCCTTACTACTGGGGTGAACCCCCACTCAAGATGTGCATTCAACAATGGACTCCTGTACATTTATTATTGGGGTGACCCCCCTTACTAATGGGGTGACCCCCCACTCACAGAGGCACATCCACCAATGGATTCTATGCACTTTATTACTGGGGTGACCCCCCTCACTTACAGATGTGCATTCACGAATGGGCTACTGTGCACCTAACTATTGGGGTGAAACACCCCCCTTACTATGGGAGTAACCCTCATAGATGTGCATTCAACAATGGATTACTATGCACTCACAGATCGGCACTCGCCTACAGACTTCTGTGCACTTTATTATTGGGATGAACCCCCTTACTACTGGGGTTATTCTCCCACTCACAGATGCGCATTCCACATGGAACTATGGCCGGAGGCGCTCTAGGTGTCCTAACACATTTACACATGTACCTACACTGTATATTTAGATATACTCAACAGACCGAAAGGTCAACAGACGACCTCTCACTCAAGACTTTCAGCCTAGGTTAATTGCAGTGGCAACCTCAATACAGACAACAATCCCCAATAGGTTGGGTCAGGGTCTTGCAGAGACTGTGAACCATGGTACCCCATCTGCCTATGAATTCATGAGCTACTGGGCCCCGGGCCAATCACCCATATACAAAGGACAAGTGCAAGTATTCCATCACGGACCCTCCAAATAATTACATCAAGCCTGGGAACAGAACCCCGATGTGCCAGAAAGTTATCCAAACAACCTAACTTCCCCTATAAGGAAATCTCCTGTGACTCCATGGATTTGACTGCCGCACGTTCAGACAACACACAGAGATCGACGAAATGGGGGTTGCCAGGCCTTCATCCACGATCCATACAAGTGTAGCCACAAAACCTAGGACAAGGAGACTGCGTGTTCGACTCCGGGTCGCACGCCCTCACTCACTTCACCCCAACGACAGAACATTACTGAGAAACAGCTATACTCTTACATTTCTCCTGTTTCAACACTCTCATGGTGTAACCATGGGCAGCGGTCTACCTTGTTATCAAATAAGGAAGCTACCTCTACTCGAGTAGGGAGGCTAGAATACTCCGGACGGCTGGAGGATAGGACATAGGATTCCTCTATACTCCTGGGCTGAACGACTCAGTAGGGTAACCGAGCTCTGTGAACTAATGCTTAATCTGGATACCACCCTCTATGGGTACTGGAGGACCACAAATCTCACAAATGAGGAAACTTACACCTATTTCCAAGAAGCGCTGGGCATTCGCTCCAGACGTCACTGGTTAACTCAGGGATAATTTTATGCTCACAGTAGTCGGGAGACTACCATCCTGGCACCGTCCTACAGCTTCCCCACACCTAGGTGGGTTCAATCATTCGGATTGGACGGACACATACCCGTCCAGGATAGTCACACCAGGGACCCATCTGTCCATTTTGTTTTCATCGACGAACCAAACAAATCAATTCACGTGTCTATCATTAAGGTACAACCCATGGTACCCAAGAAACTTTTATAACCGGTCATGGCACCTTTTCGCCACAAGGAAATCCGCTACCTCACCTATCTAGACTACAAGATGTTACTTACTACACACGTGATCTCCTATAAGTCTCTAGGGCTGGAAAGCTCGCTGCACATACCCCTACTGGAGAACCATGATCTGGAGAAGAGACGTCCGGCGTCAGGATTACCGACAACCTAAAGCTAGCCTGGCACAGATCCGATGGTTGTTTTCTCCTACATTTGGACAATATCTCGGCAACCGGCTATACAAAACACCTGGACGGAGTCTGGTATCAGACTCTAATCATATCAGAGGACATTTACCATTTCTAAATTACACGCAAGGTTACCCTACGACTAGGGATCCCTCAGGAGATTACCTATATCATGAACTGGGTTTCGTGACAATAACTGACAACGGGACTCCTTGGTCACCATCGCATCACAGAGATCTGAGTGACATGCACCTCGCCACTATGGCGGAATCGAAGGGGCTCCCGATCCTATTGACTCCATTCTGGCTTTCCACTGTCTCCCATCTTACGGACAACCCACAAGATACCATTGGAGACTTTGGCGGCTCACGTTCCATGACAGGACTTTTCGGATGCCGCGAGGCGTCATACACTCCTGAACCAGTATCGGAATACACTCGATAATGGGTCTTAGTTGTGGTTCTCTCTATTCCTACAGGTTTGACCCATGGATTTGGATACTCACTCCAACTAACCCTCGTGGAATCTCACAATCGAGACAGCCTCTCTCTCTCCCTTTGTATACTATACCTTTCACACCAGTTATGGCCACCACCTTACCAGGTGGGCACGTTGACCATTGCTCATATGGTTGCGGAGATCGATTGGTTATCGGTCATTCGGGTCATGGATGCATCTCAGACATCCATGACGCATCTTCCTTCGCCGATGTTCATTGGCCGGGTCACGAGAAGAGACTTTTAGGGTGTTCTACTTCCTTTGACTCTTCACACATCCTGTGTTATTCCATAGCGTTAAAAATGCAAAATACGAAGCCTCCTGTCCTGTTATAAAATTGTAGCTTATGCTAGCGAAGTGTACCTATAATCTTAATTTTATTAAGGACAGGAGGCGAGTATTTTCCCACCCTGCTTTTTCCCTCCCTATTTATTATTCATTGGGTTGAACTTCAATAAAAGATTTGAATTCAGGGGGTAAGGTTATCTCTCTATTACTTGGTTTATTTCATATCACATCTTGAAATTACGACTGCTATCTGTTATGATTTCCTAATACATACAATTTGACTATATTAATGTCTCTATCATAGCTACCTATTTCGGTTAAAAAATTCTTGTCTCATCTGATAAATTCCTTTTACGTAAAGTACTACGGAATAAACTGGCGTTTTATAAACAGTAATATTGATTATGCTAATAATAATAATAATGAGGACAAACAGTTCATTTCCAAATCCCTTTCACGTCTTTTGTTTCTTTTCAGTTCGATTCTTCTTCATGGATCAATACATTGGATCGTCTTTGCACTCTACGACAATCTTCCAGTCGGGATTCGGATCATTTACAGTCTGATTGTTCGTCGTTATCATTATTTATTGTAATAGCAGGATATGTTTATGATTATCTTGCACCAAAGAAAGAGGAAATGATGCAAGAGGAAGGGCCTTTTATACCCTACGGCAATGTTTTTTTCACTAAACTTTATTGTTAAACCTGTGCTGCTGGAGTTTTAGTAAAGAAAGATTATGCAAAATACTCGCCTCCTGTCCTTAATAAAATTAAGATTATAGGTACACTGCGCTAGCATAATCTACAATTGTTCCAATACTTTCTATTTAGGGACTTAGATACATTGTTATTACTCAGTACTAACAACATATAATGACACTAGTGTCTTGATATATCACTCGCAGTGGTATTTGCCTGACTAACCTCATCACTGTGATCAGTCTATTCTATATAGCATTTTTTTGAGCGAGTTGTTTGTATATTTCCCTTTCCCTAATTTTTAGGTCATTTTGTACTTTTCAATCATAACTAATATAGGTTACTTTTTAATCGTGATCCACACCTTTACATTTGTTCTATTGGGACAGTTCACACTCTCCTTTTCTGTAGTTACAATTTCCTGTTAAGGGTTATTCCCTTGTGACTGTCCTTGATTGTGTTTAGATGTTGTGTAGATTGCTTGAGTTTAATACCTAAAAAAGTTAAATTACCATATCTCCAATCAAATGGATGTAGAATTTGTAATTCCCTTATATTCTCCTTTGAAATATTTATCCCCATGGCTTGCGTTTTATGTACATTTAACTTGTAATATGGTTATTACAAGTGAAGTGTATTTTCAATTTTTTTTATTAAACAGTTTGGCCTTGACTTCATTTGTCTGGATCTGCAATCATCACAAAACTTTCCAAATGATTAATCTAATGAAGTCACTATAAATGTCTGTAAGAATTTTTGTACATAAATCATTTAGAAAGTTGTGATCATTTCTGATGTTGATCCAAACAAAACAATTTAAGGGTTTTATTTGTTATTTCATGTGATAAACCATTGTAGTGTGTCCTTGTTCTAGGAGGACATAACATAGTTATATAAACTTTATTTTTAGGAAATAAAAACAACTCTTAAAATCAAGAAAACATATATTTGCTAACATATGACTCATTGTAGAGATTGTGAGGTTGATTCACCAAACAGCGTGTTGCATGACTCGAAAACTGACTAACGTAATTCCAATGTAACACAGTTGGAAAAAAACCTCAAACTTGGCTACTACAGCTACTACAGCAAACTATCTGTTTCGTTAAATAACTTTCATTATTTCCAGTGTATCCAGTGAATGGGTTACCGCTTTAAATCTGACACAAAAAAAACTATTCATAGTATTTCACTGTTTGAGAATTATCTCTAAATTTTACACAGATGGTATATGACACCAGACAGACTAAGTACGTTTCAACCCAACATTAGTGATCTTTGTTGGAGATGCGAGAGGGAAACTGGAGCTATACTGCATGTATGGTGGGAATGTACCTGCCTATTACCTTTGAAGGTCAAGTTAGAAAATGAACTTACAAGTTTAACGTAGTTCCATATTAAACTGACCCCCCAACTCTTTTTATTCAATTTGGATTTCCCCAAATTGAAAGAAGAAATAAAAATGCTAATTGTGCATATATCAATGGCAACCAAAGTCTGTTTGGCGAGAAAATGGAGATCTGAGGCGATCCCTAAGTAGACTGAAATAGCCTCACAGATTAACTATCAGATTCATGGAGAAGGCTGTATATGTTAGTCTTGAGAACTTGGGGTTATATAAAGACATATGGAGACTCTGGTTACAGACTTGCCTGAGACTCCTTCCAACTAACACCCCCACTCTCACGCCAGGACAGGTATAAATGGTTGTGTGAATGGAGTTTGATTTTTTCACGTCAACGTATTTGTAATAGATATTTTTTAATAGAATTACACTTTATGATTTTATTAGATTTAAAATAAGTTTTGAATAATGGAAAGGGAAAGGAAACTGAAGGGAAGAGGGGAAAAGGGCTGGAAAATAGGGAAGGAGGGAGTGAAAAAGAACAAAGATCACAGCAAATAAAACGGTCACTTTAGTTTTCCTACCCTTTTGATCAATTCCCTTCAGCATCATAAATATTTGAATCACTTATTTTATCATTGAGGAGACAAAAAAAATTTAAATAACGTTCATTATTTCCAAGTCTGTAAATGTAAAGGAGTGCTATTGGTGAAGGAGCAAAAATTCTATCAACAAAAAAAGATTGACAAACAAAATTGAATTATGATAAGGAGTTACAAAGAATGGAAAATGATTTACTACACACCTTGTTTACATTTAAAAATAATAGTCATCGTATCTTACCCCGTCTACATTTCTATGTTTTATATTACTTTGTTATTTAATTGCAAAGAAAGTTTGTTTGTTCCAAAAGCTGATATTGTTTAAATACCATAATTATTCCTTCACAGAGCTGTGTCCTGATTGACTTCTCCATTTTGATTCTCACCTGTTTCCCTTGTAAAGGTTTATTATTGTAATAGTTACAATTCTTTCCTCTCGGCACGCTCAGCTTTTTATTTAACATTGTGCTCTGCAATAAAATACTGTTTTGTATATACCAAAATCATTTTAAATGCTCACAATAATTGATGGTATGATATTGTAAAATATAATGCTTTAGAATAGGGTAGGCAACGTCAACCACAAAATCTTGAGTTCCAAAGGTTGTCTACCCTCGTTTAGGCATTGGCTTCCCCTGGTCGGACTAAAATATTCCCAGCCACCATACAATCTGCCCTCCACCCCAAAATGTAATTATATACATATGGTTCTTTTACATAGTGCTATTTTAAGGGATTACAGCTCAGCACTTCGAAAGACACAGACCTCGATAATAAAATGTATTTAAAAATATGTCCTGATTGTTCAATTAAGATGCATGAACCCCATCAGAGAGTCTAGTATGATAGTCTTCTGATAGACTGCTTCCCCATTGAATAATAAGTGATATAGGGTAACAAATGCAGAATGTGAATCAAGGCCAATATATATTATGGAAAGGGATTAGAAGAAGGGATAGAGTAGTCATTTTGAATATCTATATAGATTTTGTTTTCTTCTGGCCACTTTTCATGCATTCCAGTTTATTAAAAGTCATGTTCTGAATTTTTTAATTTCTTTTAAAAGGCATTTCAGGTATGACCACACTAGTGAAGTTCAGACTAATCTAGAGTACTGCTTAAAGAGGGGCGCTGGCAGGAGCTTTACTGCTCTGTTCATTTGGCTGCCCCTCTATGTTGGAGTAATTATACAAATTGTGCTGCCGGCCATGTTACAGGGTGCTAGGGAGCACTTACATGGCTGCTGATTAGCGCTCGGTATAACACCGGGCCGGCGGCATCCAACTCAGCCTACTCAGCCAGGCCCCCCCCCCCAAAGACCACCATTGTTGCAGCAGCACAAGGACACTTCAATTTCTCGCTCCCGCCCCTTGCCCTGTACATTAGGACAAGTGGGCGGAAGCATAGCAGGGGCGGAGTGAAGGCAGCCAGGCACAGTGAAGCTGCCAGTTAGACATGAAAAGCAAAGTCATATATGCAAGAAAGGTAAGAGGGTCAATGGGACATCACAATGTGTGTTTGAAAGAATTTGTGTTTGTGTATGTCAGGCTGGTTGGGTCAATGTGTTTCTGCATGGGTTAGTGTGTGTCTGTGTGGATTAGTGTGTGTGTCTGTATGTGTGTGTCTATATGGGTTAGTGTGTGTCTGTGTGGATTAGTGTGTGTGTCTGTATGTGTGTGTCTTTATGGGTTAGTGTGTGTCTGTATGGGTCCGTGTATGTATGTATGTGTGTGTCTGTATGGATTAGTGTGTGTGTGTCTGTATGTGTGTGTCTGTATGGGTCAGTGTATGTCTGCAGGGGTCAGTGTGTGTCAGTGTATGTGTCTCCATGGGCCAGTATGTGTGTCTGCATGAGTCAGTGTGTATGTGCGCATCCGTCTGCATTCATCAGTGTGTGTGTGCGTCAGTCTGCATGGGTCAGTGTGTGCGTCAGTCTGCATGGGTAAGTATGGGTGTCAGTCTGCGTGTGTCAGTACGTGTGCATCAGTTTGCATGGGTCAGTGCATGCGT